ACCGACTGAGTTAGTAAGTTATGAGTACTAATCAACACTACACTACAATAATACATGTGAGCATTATTCAGAAGAATGATAGAATACTGGATTAACATAAGTAAAAATCGGTCGATAATGATACAGTTAAAATGAGGAATAATAATAGGCCGTGTTTCATCACGCCAGGTTCACCAATGTAGATTTACGGTCTACTTAGTTATTAGTACTGCTCTATTAAAAGACCTAATCCTAAAACTGTAGATACGTCATGATGTAGCTACCTAATCTATATGATCTTACGTGGAAGTCACATCATTGTCTACACCAACTCATCGCATCGTAAAAATCATCAATATATGATAGATAACACACATAGACTAGAGATAGAACAGTATATTTAATGTGAATAAAAGATCTTAAAAGTATATTTTGCTTATGAAAGCAATTAAACCATTAGAAATTAGATAGTTTGCAATAGATAGATACAAGGAAGTTCGTAAACCCTCAATTGACAAATAGAAATCGTTCTACGAATCCGTTTGCATGTGAGTGGTAGGTGGTCGTTCAGAATCGTGTGATCCCTAGTGAGACAACAAAAAAGTCCGGCATCAAACGGGCATCCACGGACTTTAGTGATAGTTGAAGGGCAGCTGAAGTTTGTTATCCACCGTTCGACGGAGTTGTGGGCCACTATTTCAGCAGTAGTGTTGTTGATAAATACTACTTCTGGCCACCATGTGAAACGGCCTACACAAGTTAGGAGATAAGAGTATCTATCCGAATCTGGTAAAGGTCCTGCCAAATCCAGATGAACATGGTCGGAACGAGCAACGGGAGTTTTGAAAGAGCCTAAGGGATCACTGTTGTGTCCAATCTCCTTGGATTTCTGACAGCTTACACAGGAGTGTGCTCACTCTTTCGCATCTTTATTCATACTGGTCCAAAAAATTCGCTCTGCTATGAGCTTCATGGTTGTTCGAACACCTGGATGAGAAAGTCTGTACAATGTATTGAAGAAGTTGCGTCGATAATGTTCCGGCACGACCGGACGATTCCTAACTGTAGATGTGTCGCACAGTAAAGCTTCCTTACATTTTCCTATGTGTTTAAACGCAACTTCACAGTTGTCAAAGATAACTTTTACTGAAGATCAGTGTCTTCTTTTTGAAGTATGGCGTGTTTAAAAAGATCGATTCCTTGGAAACTGTTTAATGACGTTAAACGAGACAAGGCGTCTGAGACTACATCGTTTGATTCGGAAATGTGTTGTATATCTGTTCTAAACTGAAAAATGTAGTCCGATGCTCGAGACCCTAGAGAAGAGTACTTGTCTAAAGATGGACTTAAAGAGAAAGCAAGAGGTTTGTGATCGGTGAAAAGAATGAACTTTTCGTGCCTTAAGGTAGCCCTCGTGCTATTGATAGAAGAAACCAAACAAGTAGTGAATAGGTCTTTATTTCGATCTTCGCGCAGTCACAGTGGAGCGTGGGATTATTTGTTCAGACAAACAAAGCCTCTCAACATTCAATATAAGTGATAATAAGAAATATAACGCCTATGCAAATTAAGGAAGTGAATGAATACTTGACCTGTACTGTTTAGGCATATGCTTGGTTGTTTGAGGTCAACTCTTAACCAACCAACCTATGCTGTTACAAATTCTCGGCCTTCAGCTGAGTGTTGAAAGTTCCGCACGGCATAATATAGGAGTTTCCTACCGAAAGTTCTGTCTCTATTCGGCGTCTAGCAATCGTCTTGCGAAGAATGCCGAAGGCTGCCAAGTGTGGTTAACCTACTGTCGTAAGACTCCTCCGACTACCGAGTCGGATTCGTCTGCTGCGATACTAATGTGTGTTTTGTTATCTGGGTTTGCATGCATAGTTACTCTTGCGATAAGTTCCTTAATTGTGGAGAATGCTTCTTTCGCATTATCATCCAAGTTGATGGGTTTCCCATTTCCACGAACTTCGAGGTTTCATAAGGGACAAGCAATTTTGTATGAAACTTACTAGTCCGTAAAACGTGCGTGGTTGCTTGATTGCGGTCGATTCCAGGTAATGAAGAATCGTCTTTTTAGAGGTTGGATGCTTTGAGCATCAATATTCTGTCCGAGAAAACCTAGAGAGACAGTGCCAACAATTCTGAAGCTTTACAGTAATTTCATGTTTTTGCAATCGTTTTAAAACAAATATCAAATGCTGGAGATGAGATTCTCTGTCCGAACTAGCAGTCATCTAAATGTGCGTATACGAATTTGAGAACCTGAAATACGTCATCGATGGATCGCATCAAGTTTTGTGTAGCATATCTTCAGCCGGAAAGCATGCGCGAAAATTTGTGGAGTCCGGTGGGAGTGGTGACAGCGGGCTTAGGTTCTGTGGCCAACGAAAATCGGCTAAACGCTTTGATCTGAACAATTTTCAGAAAAGTAGTTGTGCTTTTTAAGGTGTCTATCATATCGTAAATGTGAGGCAACAAGTTACGTAAGTGGTTTTCGTATTCAGTCGCCGATGATGACCAGTTTGATGCTAATCACTGTTAGCCTTTTTAGGGACCATCTGTAAGGGAGATTTACAGGGGCAGTTCGATGGCCAAATACTTCCCAACCTCAGCTTTTAGGATGCTAGTCTGTGAGCTTTCGAGAATACATGTGGTCCTATAGTCGTGATGTGTTGTGCAACATCGTTGGTTACAAACGGCAATGTCGGTCGCATTTGGTACAGTTCAGGGTACTTACCTAGTATATTTTCATTGTATGGATAGATCGTATACCTTACTGTGGCTATGAATAATATACAACCGGGAAAAGAAGTCACGCAAACAGATAAACTAGTATTTTCGTATATTAACCTTTCTTTACGCGTGTCAATTAGTATATTACGATGTTGTGGCAGGTCTATACCAATGATTGGCACAGGAACATCTGCAACAACAGGAATCCAGTGAATGAGTTTGCGTAAATCGAGATAAACACATCACTTACCATATGTGGCGGTCAGTTTCCAATTTAACACCTGTAAGTTGAAAATCGGTTCGTGCAGTCAGTACTTAGATGTTGTTAGAGGTAGCGAACTTTCATCATCACATCAGTGATGTATAACAGACGGCTGCCTTTAACGTGTGATGATGAGGGAGTTTCGTGAAACCTTTCACGTGTCGTATGGTTTGGGGCTTGAGAAAGTGTATGGTTTCCTGCGATTTCTAGACGACTTACCACACTTACTGTTGTACTAGTGTAGTGAAGGAGAACACAGGTGAGGACAACCGAATGTATTCGACACAAAACTACAGAGCATCTCAATAAAATGTGAGAACTATATATTAAACCGTTAATTTGCAAAATGTCCACCAATTGTCTCAAAATGTCTCAGACTTCATTGTCCTTACATTTTCATACAAATTGCATTCTATTCCCGCTCTTGCTTCCTTGATCTTCCCTCATCTTCTGCTTCCAGACATTACATTCCCGACTCATAATATACTACTCATATCAATATAAGTAGCACGCACCACACTAGCACCAACAAGATTTATCTACCTCTCGTGTTTTAGCAACAGATACTTATCGTGACGACCATACTCGAATTTGAATATTTGGATAGCCAGTCAGAGTGTGACACATGTTCGCAAATAATTTTGTGTTGAGGCTCTTTTTTAACAGAATAAACCTCGGTGTTGATGTTCTGGTGATCTTCGGATTTCGGTCGCTAGATAAATTCATTTCGTCTACAGCGCTTTTTCGAAATGTGACAAGCCCTTCCTGAACCTTTTGGGGCCTAGACAAGAAAAGGTGTCTAAACAGTCCCTCGTCGAAGGTCCGTTGATCAGTGACCTGATTCATCCGTAGCAAAATTTCTGTTACTGAGCAATGTTACAGATCCATGCTGTGGAGTTTTACTAACCTTTGTCGATGGGTTTGGAAATGTATGGAAGAAGTGGATGTGTAGCAGAGAGGAAAGCCTTGATTCGAATTGTTTGCATGTAGTAAAGCAACTGTACATAGTACCCATTCAGAAATTAAGTGTAATATCCTTCGTGCATATTAAACCCTAGGTGGTATACTTTCCGCATAATAACTAACTTTTGCCCCGCTCTTAATATGCAGTTATGTGTATCTCCCTTCCATTTAATTGAAGCTGATATTGTCTCTTATTCTAATACCAACAGTGTATTCGTCAGTGTATAACGCCTTGAAATTGTTCTACATAGGCTTAATACATAAGCTGAGGTCATAATAATTTTAACATACTTGAGCTTATTGCCTACTGGACATATCTAGAAAACGTAGTCTTAAGATAGCTATAAGTGAGCAGGGACATTGAGGCATTTAGAAGTGTCATAGGATCTTCGCCACATGACCCCTCAAGTTAAGCATAAAATAACTAGAATTTGTACTAGCTGTTTGATACTTCGTCAGAAAAATTGAACGTAGGGACACTTGACAGAGGCTTCATGACTCAAAATTCAGGCGTAGTCACTTTATCCAACCCCTCATTTTATATTAAGCAGCTGATAATTAGTACGCCACTTCTACGATAGGACGACCCAGCATAAGCTACTTGAAGGTCTTATAGACTAGGGAGTCCAAAGTACAAGGTTAGGTCGATGATTCTAGTAGCATAGATAGGTGTAATAATACTTCATTCTTACAGACCAAACACTACTTGCTACAACACACAATAGGTACAAACAAAGTATCCCCGATATTTTCTACTGCTAGTCATGCTATTGCTATTTATTTACCTGGAGGTTGTCATGATCCCGCCGTGGCAACGTGGACTGATACACACACCCAATATTCTGCGCCGCGTATGAATGACAGGTTGAGTGAGCTTTAGCGCGACCAACTAAATTTTGCCTAGGAAAAAAAATCAAATTCAATGTTACTTCATACTTATGATGTTTCCCTAGATCTCTAGTTAGAAAACCATTCCAAAAATATAAAATATATTTTAACACAAAAGCGTTATCTAAAAATCAAAATAATTCTTGCATAGAAGTAATCAAAATCAAGTTTTTCAGCTTGAAGCGTCGAATTTAACATTAATTCGGTGCCAACAGTTTGACAATAAGCCGCGAATGTTTAAAGTAGCTGAGCAGAATTCCGGTTGGGTGTTGTAAGAGCTATCAACAGCCGAACACACAAACTCTGCTTCACGAATATCTTCTGCAAAAAATAATTACAAAAAACAATCTATTTTAGATTACGAGACACCAGTGATTAAAATGACGGATAATTTTTAATTGAGCAATGCGAACAGTATGCATGGAATAAATTATTTTTAAATCGCTAGATTCCAAAGTCATACAGCATCACACCATTATACTGGTTCCGGGAACGTGATAGTATATAACCAAACCGTTAAACGCCAGCAGCTTCTGGTTTTAGTCCCAAATGTGGAAACTCTAGTGCAGAAGTATGAGCAACAGATTCTAGAATAATCGGATGTGAATCTTCGAATTCACTTGAATTGCCTCAACCATAGTCAACGTTTACTTACCATCGCCATCAATTCCGCATTATCAAACACTAAACGTAGTCAAGACTGTAGGAAGAACTACGAAAAATATCTCCGTTCACTTAATATCAGAGTCTGTAAAATACATGTCTGGCATAAAGATGCAAGGAATGACTTAAGTCCTTGTACATCAAAAAGTACGACACAATACAAACTCAACCGCAGTTTAGTGCAACCCAGTATATTTGGACATTTTGTGCATTACACCGAGAGCTGCACCGGAAATGTTAGGGATTATAACAGGCGGCTATGCAAGTTCAAGTGACTGAAGAGATCTTAAGCTTATGAGGAAATGTCTTGATAGTGGGCGTTCAAACCTAAGTTCCAAAGTACATAAATATTATAGTGGTTATCGATAATTATGTACACAAATTCCCACCTAAAACTGTCCGAACCACAGTCACAGCTCTCTGAACTATGAAAGTAAGACAGACAAAAACATCTGTAAGCATTATTAAACACTTGCTTGGAATAGGAACCTCCACAGTCCATATTGTCCACGCCCATTGTTTCACGCTCCGGTTTTTTAAAGAATGAGGATTGTCTATGTCTGTTACATCACCTTCTGCTGCAGGAGGACTGGCTGGTGACAATTTCGCTTGGTACCAAGACCTGCCACCATCCGAAGAAATGCGAACGGAAATGATCCCACGCCCACCTCCGCTGAATGCATAGCTAAAGTGTAAGGTCATTTAACATGTATAAGTAAAAAACATTATATGAAACTACATATGAATCGTTAGAATGAGATTATCCTCAATATAATTTTCCCTTGTTTCCGGTTATAAAGTATAATTAATATGAGAAACCATAGTATTGAAGAATGATGGAAATCAGTTACTTTATAAGCTTGTATTTTGCTGAGGATAATGTAGAGAAAAACAGGGAACTCATTATAATCTCTAAAAATCGACGTTATTACATCGCTTAAAAATATTTTTGCAGAATTATTTCGTCCTTTTTGAACGTTAAGTGATTCATATCACCAAATCATCCTCAGTACTTACAGCTCATTCTATAAACAAAATTACAACTGCACAATAAGTATCTTAGAAAATTAGGACTGAAAATATCAAGACACAAAAGGACCACCTATAACAATCACCACTTCATAAGCAAAGATGGATAGTGGCTATCAGTGGAATCCAGGACGCACACTTCGTCCTATTTGGGACTCGTCAGCTGGATGCACCTGCATCTCAGAGTTGATGTTCACTGTGGGACTCGAACTCAGTACCGTTCGCTTCAAACGCCATCGCGTCATCCACTTAGCGCATCCTGTGCGTATTGCCTCGATATTGCCTTAATTTACAAGCATTATAAGCAAAGATAGATAGTGGCCATCAGTGGAATCCAGGACGCGCGTTTCGTCCTATCAGGAGTCATAGATAAGTGGATAATGCGATGGCGTTTGAAGCGAAAGGTACTGGATTCGAGTCCCACAGTGAACATCAACTCTGAAATGCAGGTACATCCAGCTGACGAGTCCCAAATAGGACGAAACGCGCGTCCTGGATTCCACTGATAGCCACTATCTATCTTTGCTTATAATGCTTGTAAATTAAGGCAATATCGAGGCAATACGCACAGGATGCGCATATGCCAATAAGAGACTGATCGATTTCAGTCCTAAAACATCAATGGGAAGATTCAAGTAAAACAATATCAAGTGAATTAGTCATCACGTTAGTTTATATCAGTAGCACGTAACACAGTGATAAGTGTCATCATAAAGTGCGACGAACCATTTCATTTGTGTAGTCCTCATAAGATAAAAATCCCGCTTTCTGAGGTTTCAGATTCAAGATTTTTTAAATACAGTGGTCATCTATGATCTTATATTGATTAGTTAATCAACAAGTGATTGATTTACTAAACCTAATAACAGTAATTTGAACTACAAAATCAATCAATCAAGAAACATGAGATAATTTTTGTAAAGACCATTGAAAACCTACCCTGACAAAATTACACTCCCAGTGTTTTTGAGGGTTTGGCCATCAGAAGGTTTACAAATAACTGACTGAACAGGATAATCAAAAATAGCCGGTAAGCCCTTCAGATCTGGGACTTTACCATCACTCATCGGTAGAACATATTTATAATCACCCTGCTGCCAAAAGCTTTCACTTTCGTCCGTTGATAATGTAATCTAAAGAGTCAATATGTTCTACACAATAACCTCTCAAGGTAAAATAATAATATGATAAGATTCTCAGAAACTGGTACGGAGTAGTCTGTTCATTAAACAGAAGTCGTTATTGGTAAACTAAACTGGTAATACAAACAATGTATGTAGAGTTCCGTATTCAAACAACCTGTAAACATCAATATTAAGCAAAGATGAATAGTGGCTAACAGTGGGATCCATAATACACGTTCGGTTCTATTTCAAACTCTTAAGCTGGGTGTACCAGGATTCCGGAGTTAATGTCCACTCAGGAACTCTTATCCAGTACCTTTCACTACAAACATCGCATTATCCATGAGCGAAGATTAAATCACGAGTAACTTCTGAGACATATTAATCGACTAATATTATCTATATATTCTTATAGTATAACTATTCAATAATTAGATTATGTATATTCATATTCCTCTTATTATAAGCTTTATTTTGACCTATGATTTATTATTGTACGATTTACTGTTCTTCAGCTATGTTCAGTTTATTAACTACTGCCTCCCATGTTCACAGCCACTTTTTGGCTTTATTGTGTACAAATGTTATTTACTATTTTATGGTGCGTTGCGGTCTGTTTGGTTGATATATAAACCCAGTTTGTCCGAAATAAATGATTCGATTCGCATAGTGGAAGCTGGTATTGGTGTTTTGGACTCAAGTGGACGGGCTAGGCGGACATAGGACCAATAAGGACGCTAGGCTGCTCATACCGGTTGAACGTCATTGGTTTTGGTACAGTGCTAAGATTGTATAACTCGTATTTTGATTGGTGGATAAATCACGTGATAAAAAGCCGGACATAAAGTCACAACAATCCACTTCGAAACTGAGTTCAGATATAACCCGGCTTGTACAATGGGATGCCCAGATAGACTGATTGATCGCAGATCTGAACATTAATGGGAAGATCCAAACAACCTATATGTATAAATTAGAATCAAAATTCCCCTCATTGCACAAGCCAGTTTATATATAAACTCAGTAGAAAAGTGGGTAGAGCGATTTTCTTCGTAGCGAAAGGTACTGATTACGAGATCCTGAGTGAACATCAACTCTAGGATGCAGGTAAATCCGGCTGAAGAATCCCAAAACGGACGGATTTCAACACTGGCCATTATCCATCTTTCCCTAAAATCCCTGTGATTAACTTGCTATATCAAGGTAATCCACACAGGAAACATAAATGTTAAGAGAGACTGATTATCAATTGAAGTCCTTAACATCAATGGGAAGATACAAACAAACAATAAATATCAATTAAAATTATAGACATGAAATACAAATCCAGCCCTCAATTATAATTGATATTCAAAATTCAAAAACACAACTAAAGCTTGAGACCACACCCAACAGTACGAGAAAAATGTTTAACGTTACTCATACATTGGGTAGTCTAAAGACAAAAAATCTAATCAAAACACTAAAAAAGTCCTTACAAGTAAACAATTGCTAACAATAATCTTAATTACTGTATTGTTATAGCTTCAAGCGATTTAACAGTCATCAAAACATTAAAATTAAAATAGACATAATCCAATATGGACGATGTCATTTCAACAAATATTCATAAATATGATCTATTAATCGTAACGACATATATGAAGTGATAGCGCTTATGTAAGCTATATATATACCAGATAGAAAACAAACTGATGGATAGACGACAATAATAAGGATATATAACATGCAAGTAGGACCGTATCTATAGTATTTAAAAAGAAGACAGATATATTAGTGGCAGTATGAAAAAGCAAACAGAAATCCCAACGTACATAAAAACCTAATAAATTATGTACAAAAGTAATAATGATAAATAAAAATGGTATATTTTCAGTATTTCGATGAGTGGAAAAACTGAATTTCTGACGTTACGTGAATTAGTATCGAAATAAGTGTCGTACAAAATTCAAGCCCAGTAGAAAAAAATAAACATTTCGCTGCAATTAATTCCTTCAATCTAATATCTATGTTTCAAAAGTGATAATACAACATATATCAGTTACAAAACCAAGAAACAATGGACAGCTTTATGGACGTAAAGTATGATCCTCTCAACAATAGTGCCTGCCAATCACTCCATACACAATGATACACTAGATCTCCAAATCTCATGACAATTTTCGAACTAATATTAGGATTTAATAGAAAACTGACTTTAAGTTTAACGAATCTCTACAAACTATTTAGCTAAGTAATAGTCGTTTATTCATTAGAGGTCACTTTCAAGATGGAGTCAATCAATTAGAAAGTGGGCGAGTTACCCACTGGTGACACTGGATATGTATCATATTAATCATGAGTAAATGAGAGATCACAATGTAGCCTATTCAGTTTGAATAATATAATGCTTGCTACAAGTAAAGGTCTAAGGTTCAATAGTACTTAAGGTCATCATAGGACACAGCTGAGAAGTTCAGCAATTTACAGTTCTTTCGTTTTCATTGACCTTTCAAACTATATCAGCTTTTAAAAATAAATTATCTCGTGGTAATTGCTAAGAAAAGTGTAAACCTTCATAAAATGGTTAATTAACAGTAGTTACATAAGAATAAATACGTTAAAATGTATGTAGTTTACACAACCACGGTCATCTCTTGAGTTAAGTACTCAATTGATGATTGGGTTATAACATTGAAAAAGACAATTAAAATAGTTGCAGTAACTTCTTTTGAGTGCAAAGTTTATTTACGAAGAACTCAGGTAGCCTAAATTGTGTAAGACACAGTGAGTGGTTTGCGATAGATAAGTGCGAACACTACTTAGGTCAAACAGATTGCTAGTCCATAATAATGATCGATATTTATTCACTATTCCTATTTTTCTTAGACTACCCTTTATGTAAAATAATCAGAAATCTAATGAACTTCTCGCTTGATTGTATGTGTGGCAGTGACAGCTCTTGAATAAATGGAACAAGAATGAGAGAGGACACAAACTTTTCTTCGTTTAGTTGAAAAGTACTTACTTGACCTAGCCATTTAACTTGACGAGCTCCAATAGAACCAGGTATGATAATTCTCAATGGGAAACCATGATCCCGAGTTAATGGCTTATTGTTCATTTTAAAAGCAATGATTACCTCCCTCTGAGGATCTAAAGCTAAATCAATTGGTAGCGATGAACCAAAAGCTCCACCAGTAGGATCTATATCCAGTCCTATATTAGAAAAACGTTGGGAAATGTTAGGAAATATGAAGCCAATGTTATTATTTTTGAAAAAATCAACTAGGAATATTTCCTCAATGTTACTCATAGCAACTACTGATTAAATTAGTGAGTGTTAAAAGGATAAAATAGGGCAATGATTTTCCTGTATATGTAGTAGCATGATAAAATAGAATAGATAAAGGTTATTGGCTATAGACATGTACACCTTATGGAGCTTAATAGTGTTAGACACGAGTCATAGTACCAATCAAATACAGAGCTACTCAGTTTCCTCGTTCATTTAGAAACCTACAAAAAGCAAAGAAAGAAGTTAAAAGAACAAAAAATGTTCATCTGAATTCCTTTTTACTTTTAGATCATTACAACAATATTTCGCTTTTTTTATACTTTGTAAATTAAATTGTTCCACATGATAATTCTATTAAGAACCGTATCTCAATAATTTGTAAGTTGAATATTATTTATAGAGAAAATTCAAACCCTGAAAACCGTATAAAGATGCTCTCAATATATAAAGCTAACTTTAAGATTATTAGTATTTAGACCATTTAAATTCTTACTAGACGATTTGGTTTACTGAACCCCCACACACACACAAAAAAAAACCTTCCTCCCTAACTATATTCGATAGATGGTACTGGAATTCTTTGCCCCCAAATGCCCTGGTAAGGCCGAGAGTAAGGAGAGTCCGCCCTCCCTCTCGAAATGCTCTTGCACGACCACGCATATACAGCCTTTGCCAGGGCAAGTCCTACTCATGGCGGGGGTTTTGCTTACGAAATTGAGAGGATGAAAAGCGAATGTCTGGCGCTTTAACCGGGTTGGTGGACATCAAGAGTCCACCTAAGGGATCTGGAAAACCCTGATTCCAAACCAATGGTGCACATGAGCTTCAGTATCCTGAGGGAAAAAATGGCGTATGAACCAATTGTTGGTCACCGTCTACCATGGGACTGCATCTCCTTACATTGCTCCACTGCCTTGTGGGTCAGACCTTACTGGATATACCGTACTGGAATTCATATTGAAATGAAACGATAATAGTTCAAACAATTATAAAAACCATAAGAATTTATAATTTCATGTTTAATTTAATGAATTTCTCAGTTAAAAATTTCAAAAGTATTTTTTTAAATAGAAAAATGGAAAGCAACTAAAATAATGCAGACGTAAATGTCAGGTATTTAGACAATTAACTCTATTTAAAACTACTTTATTAATGCTACTACGATTTAGAAGAAGAAGAAGAAGGAGGAGGAAAAAAAACCATTTTTACAATTATGCACTTACATAAGTGTTCTTATTGATTTATATAATTTATTATTATAGATTTTAATTAAGTTCATTTATGAAGAACTCATTATTTATTAAGTAAATATTAATGATATTTAATATTATAATTATTAAAAAGGAACAAGTTGAATCAGTTGAAAAAAAAACAATGAAAATATTTAGTAGATTATTCAGTCAGTCAGTTACAACGTAGGACCAGGCATATACGTGCATCGGTTTGAGTTGCCATACCTCATTAGCATAACAAGATGAACACCGGATTCATAGGAGTGGTTAAGTTAATGGTGGTAATATATAAAAGAAAGATTATCAATAATTAATCATTCGATAAACTCAATACAGTGAAAAAATGAACTTCATATTAATTAATTGAAATATAAAAGATCAATCACAATTTTAATGTTGATTGTAATTACATTTTATTATCTTATTAATATATATAGTTATAAATAAAAGTGGAGTTCAACCAGGTCTGTTGCGAGATAGTAATTCACTGATGATAATAGTGGATGTGTCGCTAAATTTCTTGGACTAGTTGAAGTTAGACATTAACGCCGTTGGATTCCAGCTTAGTGGTCTAGTGGTTAAGTGCTCGCGCGCGAGACTAATAGGTTCTGGGTTCGAAACTCGCAAGGCGGGATTGTGGATTTGCACTGTTGAAGAGTCCTACAATAAGACTAAACGGCCGTCCAGCGCTTCAAGGGTTTTTATGGTAATCTAGCTTCAACTGACTTATAATCTCAATCATTAAAAGGTAAAATAGTAAATGAATTATGATGATATAAGAGTTAGTAATAACAGAAATATAAATCTTTCAATCAATAACGAAATATCTATTGTTCTTCCTCCAATATTCATAAAGCTCAGCATGAGCTAATATGAATGACAAAGATCACTAAATTTTAGTGCTTACATGATTGGTTTTTGGTAAATTTGCATCTAGGACCTATCATCTTAACATTCACTAGCACAGTCTTATTTTATAATTTTTTATTAGTAACTATTAAAAGAATCTTGTATTTGTCGTCTAATGGAATGAATATGATATAGTTTAAAAACTGCTGTATTCCCTGGTCCAAATGATTTCACTGAAAATCTGTAGAAGATTATCGATTAAGACATTATACTCTCCTTTCTCTTAACCAATTTGTTTATTGAACTTAACGATATTTTATTAAAGCTTCTGAAATCTTTGTACTCCATCTTCAGTGGAAACTAATCTGTCTTTTGGATCTAGTTCTCGGATTCTTAGTGAAACAGTTTGCGATGTACTCTAACAGTTGGACTGCATAATTAATCGCTCTCAAAACTTTCAAACTAACAAATATAGGAAACATCAGTAGCGAGAAGTTGAAGAAAGTCTAAATCTCCTTGTATTCTGGGTATAATTAACCTCAGGAATATTCAATAGATAAGTATTCATGAACAGCTTACCATCAAATCGAATGTGACGTACACCTGCATTTTTAAGTAATTCGTAGAGTGCTTGATAGTTTGTTCTTTGGTTTGAAGGTAACAGATGATAAGCCAATAAGTCCACTAACAGTACACCAGTCCACTCTGCCGTAGAAATCGCTCCCTCAGACCACGATAAGCCTTTCACATAAGGACTATGTTCTTCTAATTCAGCCTTTTTTATATCATACTTGATCATATCTGATCGTCGGTTCCCAGCGCAAACAATGGTGGATACTAAACTTTTACGAGGATAATTCTTTAGAATATCTTCTAATTTTAAAGACAAATTCAGTGATTGATTGTTAACTTTTATAACCGAAGAAGCTATTTCAAGTCTATATGTTCTAAAGGAGAAAAATATTTCTAAGGATATATAGCTTGAAAGATAAATGTTGAACTAAATTTAATAAAGAAAATTTCAGTTAAAAAATGAAGAAATCAATTTGAAAGGACCAATCAGATAATGTTACATCATCTTTACCATTACTTAACTTTAATATACTTTTTATTTTATCGGTTTTCAACTGATTATTCTTTAGCTAAAAGTGTTAACTCGAACTGATCCATTTTATAAAGAAATATATTAAGCTAGTCCTTCCATTGATTTTAATGTTGACAATTACAATAAGTGACAAGATGACTGCATTTAATCAGTTATTAACCTTAATAAACAGATGCAGATTATTTTTCTTTGCAGCAGCTACTAACCTAAAAAAAAGATAGATCCCGGATGATACAACAGATACACAATATTTACAAGAATAGGTTTTCTATAGAAAGACACTTAATCAGACTGAGTGTTTTGCAATAACTGAAAGTTAATAAACTGAGCTGATTGATGATAGTGTACTAAGATTATTCAGTGAAATAAGGAATACCTGTACAATCAAAATGTGTGATATAAATAAAGAAACGTTTCCATCCATATGACACAACACACATTTTGCAAATCAATCTTTTGCCTACAAACTTAAAGTAGTTATATTTGTATATTTTAAGATATCAGAAAATCCCATAGTTTTATCCTCACTTTACGCTTGGTTGGGTTAATCAAACATTAGTGAACGAATAAGAACAATGTCCTCAGTTTAGGAAGAAGTGGGCTTTAGCAACTATGAAGGTAAAGAAGTAAAAAGTGATTAATTTCAGATGCCAAAAAAAAACGTCTGACATCAAAGTAAGGACGTAGCCATTTAAAATTGGAATTTACTTATACTATCACAAAACACAACTATCACCATGTTATGAGGCATTAATGGTAAATTTAATTAACTTCGTGAGCATACGTCAACCACTTTATCAATTATGCAAACAGAGATTGAAATTTTCAGCAAATTATTAACTTATGAAATCAGATTTTCATTAACAATAACAACAAGTTCAATCTAGCATTTGTAAGAAATTGCAAAAGCAGAAATGAACCATCAGTAATTAATGCTGTTATTATAAATTATCTCCAGTCAGTCTTAATTTTTTCGTCTCATTTTGTCATCAGGATATAAGTGCTCATATTTCTTAAGGAAATTACTTCGAAATGTCTACGTAATCTGTAAATCTAAGTTAATTCCAAGTGTTTTTATAATGCTTACGTGACAAAATCAAACTGGCGCTCGGTAAATTTATGTCACTTTTTAGATTGACATCCGTAAGATTCTTCTTATCATTCTTTTACTACATTTCATTTGCAAAATGAAGGTGAACATTAGTTGAATTCTTGTAACGATCGTCACTGTTTTTCCTTATCCTACTCGCGAACTGTTATTTATTTATCTAATGAGCATTAAGATAAATTATTAATAGTCTTGAAATTAAATACATACATGCGATGTATTCTTAGTCTTCAACAGTTTAAAAGCATTCATCTGACACCATATTTAAGGTTCTCGCATTTACACTTGTGTTCATAATAAAATCATCTGTATGGCGATGCTGAAACTTCGTTAGTATTTAACGCGTTCTTGTACATCATTATTTTTTATTAGATCGATTCAGTCTTTTAGTGTCTGTTGAGAGAGCTTACATAGAATACTTTGAGATTTTTATTTAAAACTGCTTAATCAATCAGTATATTATGAGAGATGAAAACGTTTGCGCTGGGAACCGACGATCCAGTATGGCCAAGTATGATATAAAAAAGGCTGAATTAGAAGAGCGTAGTCCTTTATTAATCCACGTTTGTAATGAATTCAGCAGAATCAATCGTATTTGTACTAGCGATACTAGTGAAGTAAAGATGAACTTCTTGGCTGATACGCTAATGAAAAATTGTTATTCATTGAAGTTCATAAACCGCTAGAGGGGTGTCAATACGATTAGACCTATGACGGTTCTGGCACCCAAGAAGCGTGTTTACATTATGTTACCATTTAGAGGCAACACAAATAGTCTCATGTTGAAACTGAGACTTAAATTAGCCATCAACCGGACATTTTATGCAGCCCAACTTGTCATTACTAAAAAGATAGGGTATGTTTCACCAAAAGCTCGAGTATCACGCAAGCGACTGTGTCACACCCCAGTGTGTCTATCAATTTACATGTATGTGCGGAAACACATATATACGGAGGAGTAATCGTGATTTGCAATTAAGTGCAGGTGAACATATACCAAAATGGCTACAGAAACAAATGAATTCTAATGGTCAAATAAGATCACAGGATCATCCTCTATTGCGAAACATTTGATTGAGACTGGTCATAAGGTTGACAACAAGTCAGCATTTGTAGTGTTGTACAAAATCCTTCAAGGACGTCAGTCAGTCAGTCAGCTACAACGTAGGACCAGGCATATATATGCATCGGTCCGATTTTCTATACCGCATTAGCACAGCACGATGAACACCTGATTCATAGGAGTGGTTAAGTTAATAGTCGTAATATATAAAAGAAAGATTGCATATAAGAACACAGTACAGGAAGAAAGAATAAGTTCGTAGAAAGGAAGATATGAAGTGATTTTAATCTCTTAGTTTAAGGGAAGACAAAGAGTGTATACACCGACGCCATTGTGACCGATTCTGAGCCATGCCACCACGAGTCTCCAACCATTGGTTACGATAGTCACACGGACCCCAACCAAGTAGTCTGCATCTACCAACATGGCTCAGACTAGAAGTTAGTGACTCCAAGCACTGATGCCACGTTTTGGTTTGGCCGCCCCTAACTTTCTTCCAACCATCCCGAACACCGGATAGCATTGCACGTCGTGGTAATCGGTGTTCAAGCATACGTAACACGTGGCCCAACCATCTCAGTCGATGAAGATTCATAACCTCATCAACTGATTTACCATCATTCCCTAATACCCTGTGTCTAACCTCACTATTACTTACCCGGTGATCCCAGCAGATGCCAGCAATATTTCTGAGGCATCTGTGGTCAAATACTAGTAGCTTACGAATATCCTCTACTCCTAATGGCCACGTTTCGCAGCCGTAAAGTAGAACAGAAAGAACTACCGCGCAGTATACTCATCCTTTCATTGATAGACGGATATCTCGCCTACGCCATAGGTGATATAAGTTGGCAAAAGCCAAATGAGCTTTTCGAATCCGTGCTGAGATTTCGTCAAACACCAACCCATTAGGGCTGATCAGACTTCCAAGATAAGTGAAGTTGTCAACGTGTTCGACTACTTCACTCCCTATCCTTAGTTCAGGTGTTGACGCAGACCAGTCTTGAAGCAACAACTTGCAGCGCATTCCAAACATTCTGGCATTGTTGCTCAGTACTACCAAAACACTCTGCATTTTATCAGCGTCTTCACCAAACAGGACCATATCATCTGAGTATTCTACGTCGATAGGTGGACCTCCTGGTAGGAGGTCAGTGCTCGAAAATTCAGTCGATGAGGACGTTGTTTCCATCAGTATATCTATGATGAATTTGAACAAAAATGGAGGAAGTGTACAGGCTTGACGGACACCACTTGAGGTTGCAAAAGCAGACAACAGTTCGCCATAAGCTCTGACTCGACTAGTAGTGTTCGAGTAAAGAGCCTTCACAAGGTTTATGTACTTCTGAGGTACGCTTTTCGATGACAGACACTGGCACAAAACCTCTCGGCCTATAAAGTTAAATGCTGCTTTTAAGTCAAGAAAGACCACCATTGTCGGACGCCGATAAGCATGCCTGTGTTCTAGAACCTGACGAATGGTGAATATGTGGTCGACGCAGCCACGACTAGGTGTGAAGCCAGATTGATTTCCTCGTGTTTGCAGTCCACGTGTCTTAGGCGATCAATAATTATTGAGGCTAGTATTTTAGATGTTATATTAGTCAAACTAATCCCTCTATGGTTGTCACAGGATGATTTTGACCCTTTCTTATGTATTGAAACAATTAGTGATTGTGATCACTTAGATGGGATTACGTTTAACTCCCAGATTTTAGCTAAAATATTAATCAACTTAATCGCTAAAACAAGACCATCATACTTAAAGATATCTAGAGCCAAACCATCTGGGAAGTTGCTCTTCGTCAATTCAGATTTGGAAGATGTAAAAACCTTTACATATTTGGGCAGCATCATTGATGAACAGGGTGGATCTGATGCAGATGTGAAGGCGCGGATCGGCAAAGCAAGAGCAGCATATTTACAACTGAAGAACATCTGGAGCTCAAAGCAACTGTCAACCAACACCAAGGTCAGGATTTTCAATACAAATGTCAAGACAGTTCTACTGTATGGGGCAGAAACCTGGAGAACTACAAAAGCCATCATCCAGAAAATACAGGTGTTTATTAACAGTTGTCTACGCAAAATACTTCAGATCCATTGGCCGGACACTATTAGCAACAACGTACTGTGGGAGAGAACAAACCAGATCCCAGTGGAGGAAGAAATCAGGAAGAAGCGCTGGAAGTGGATAGGACACACATTGAGGAAAGCACCGAACTGCGTCACAAGACAAGCCCTCACATGGAATCCTGAAGGTCAACGGAAAAGAGGAAGACCAAAGAACACATTACGCCGAGAACTGGAGATAGACATGAGAAGAATGAACAAGAATTGGATGGAACTAGAAAAGAAGGCCCAGGACAGAGTGGGTTGGAGAATGCTGGTCAGCGGCCTATGCTCCATTGGGAGTAACAGGCGTAAGTAAGTAAGTAAGTAATAGCTTTTTTAACTTCAATTAGAGTCAGGGGACCTACTTCAATGTCCTGTTCGGGCTGTTTTGGAATGGTGAGTAGTTGTAGAGTAGCTGAATGCCAAATAAACTGCTCCTCAAAGTGTTCCACCCATCGTTCTAAACGTCTGGGATAAAAGTTGTTGTAGTCTTTTTCCGAGATTGTCTCACATTTGACTTCCTAAGTCTAGTTTCTTTTATTAGTCTGTAGAGCTATCTTGTGTTCCTTATAGCCGCCGCCTTTTCCATTTCTTTTGCTTTCGTTGCCCACCACTGCTCACGGTCGTTTCTTAGACTTTTGCTTAACCTAGATCTGATTTGTTTTCGCTCTTCATCGTGTCCAGAGCCTGATGGGATGAGCTTGCGAGAATCTATCACTGCAATATACACTGAAGAAATCCATTGATTTTTGTAACCTCTTGGTTTAAATCACTAATAGATGTCACTGCTGTTTCCACAGCTGTTCGTATATCTTTCCAAGCAACATCTGGGACAGCCTCGTTTTCAGAACTACATAAGTGTGACCTCAGTTGTTCCTGGAACCTACTTTTGGTTTTCTCGTTACTCAATTCAGTCCTAATGGGTCTTTTTAATGTGGCTTTTTTGCGTCCAGTGAGGCGCAAGCAAATGTGTGCCCGTGTTAGGGCATGGTCGGAGTCCAAGCAGGTACTCCAGAATGAGCGACAATCTTCTACCGACCCACTCCAACGATGACTGATGGCAATATGGTCTATTTGAGTCCATCGTTGGTTTGGTGAAGGCGGTCGCCATGTTAGACGATGTCTCTCCTTATGCTTAAAATTTGTTTGCTGACAACAAACGATTGTCTGAGCACAGTTGCAGCAGACGATCACCATTATCTGTTCGTTGTGCTGGAATACTAAAATACCCGCCTAAATGCCTTTCTGTTTGGTTTAAACTACCTATCTGAGCATTAAAGTCACCTGCTACGAGTACTATGTCTGGACGTTTAGCTTTCTGAAGAAGTTCAGATAGCTTTCTGTAAAATTCATCTTTCACTTCGTCTGAGCTGCAGTCGGTGGGAGCGTAGGCAGAAACGACGAAAAGGCAACGACGTGTGTCCCTATCCTCCCGAGTTCTTACGGAGCCGTTTAGCCGAACAGCACATAAATGACTGTTAATGTGGATCCACTCTAACAGTGCTTGTTCTGTCCTTATGCTTAGTGCTATCCCTACTCCTGCCAGTCCACGAGGACCAGCCATTGGGTCGTCAGATACACGGAGGGTGTATCTCGTCGGCTCTCCGTTTTGCCGAGGTGAGGTCAAGTGAATGATCACACTAGGATCCTGTGTGCGTGTTTTGGAGACAGCTTACATCGATCGTACGAGATTCTAGGGTTTCAGCCCAGGAGGCCTGTTGACCGGTTTGATATAGAATGCTTACGTTGAAGGCTCCAATGTGTAGTTTAGAGCGAGGTTCCAGTAGACCTGGGACAGTGTTTAGCGTACTAGAATCGTTGGACATGGTGACATTTGAGGAGGAAGCCGAAAGAGGAAGTTTAGAGGTGAAAGTCGATGTAGGAGGAGTAATAGGAAGTGAAGACGGAGGTTGATTATGAATACAGTGGTCTTGAGTGCTGTTAGAGGTATGAGGGTGGTTATCACTTCCCAGTTGCCCACACCGTGGAAGGGTTGTTCTGGAGGTACCTGAAAAGGAAAGCGGATTAGAGGTGGTCTCAGTGACCTGAGATCGTGACCGCAGAGCCCAAGGGACAATTGCTGGAGGTCGGTCACACACGACCTTTTTATGGGTAATTTTCGTGTTAGCTCCGTACTTGTTAAGACTACTGCCGGAGACGGATATCTGTGGGATAAGGCTATCTTTTTTAACCCCACCCCTCCTTGTGGGAAGGCAGCATCGCTGTCATGCTGGTTGTCTGAAGGAAACACCTTACTGCCGTCACACCTCTGTACAGTCAGCAGTACGACTTCTCCTTCGGACTTTGGGATTGTTGCTTTTAGTCTTAGCGCTCTTCAACCGACCTGTCTGACATTATAGGACCTTGAGGAACGGTTGTTCCAGCCAGTATAGCTCGGTTGCTTCATCACGATGGGTAAGCCCGACCGCCACGTCAAGGTAGCAACAATGTTAATACTGATTTATTATCCAGAGTGGTTATCACATTGTTTTTGTTTGCTTTATTTAATTATTTATTGTTATGTCTTACATTTAACGTGTCTAGTTGACCTTTTAATTTTCATATAGAAATGTCTTAACAAGTGATCAGATTGTTCAAAATGTATTGCGCAAATGTATCACATAATTTTAATAAACTTCGTCTTGTCATTCACTTATCAAAATACAACGAAATAAACAGTTACAAATTACTACTTCCATTGAATGGACTCAGAATTCATGGTCAGAATATATGATTCGAAGAAATCAAAACCTATATCACCACATTCTATTTTTATTCAAATTTACCACAAGTGTAGTTACTTCAAGGTTTCCTTCTGAATGAGAATTTTGAAAAAATTTTCATCTCATAATATACTGATTGATTAAGCAGTTTTAAATAAAAATCTCAAAGTATTCTATGTAAGCTCTCTCAACAGACACTAAAAGACTGAATCGATCTAATAAAAAATAATGATGTACAAGAACGCGTTAAATACTAACGAAGTTTCAGCATCGCCATACAGATGATTTTATTATGAACACAAGTGTAAATGCGAGAACCTTAAATATGGTGTCAGATGAATGCTTTTAAACTGTTGAAGACTAAGAATACATCGCATGTATGTATTTAATTTCAAGACTATTAATAATTTATCTTAATGCTCATTAGATAAATAAATAACAGTTCGCGAGTAGGATAAGGAAAAACAGTGACGATCGTTACAAGAATTCAACTAATGTTCACCTTCATTTTGCAAATGAAATGTAGTAAAAGAATGATAAGAAGAATCTTACGGATGTCAATCTAAAAAGTGACATAAATTTACCGAGCGCCAGTTTGATTTTGTCACGTAAGCATTATAAAAACACTTGGAATTAACTTAGATTTACAGATTACGTAGACATTTCGAAGTAATTTCCTTAAGAAATATGAGCACTTATATCCTGATGACAAAATGAGACGAAAAAATTAAGACTGACTGGAGATAATTTATAATAACAGCATTAATTACTGATGGTTCATTTCTGCTTTTGCAATTTCTTACAAATGCTAGATTGAACTTGTTGTTATGGTTAATGAAAAGATGCTTTAATAAGTTTTAACAACCGGTGTTAAGTTTGAGAAAACGGTAAAAGTGGTACTTGGTCAATCAAAAACGACTCCTGATTAATTGGTTAGCCATATAGGCGTGGAAAGTACTAGTTTAATTTGAGTGGCTTTCAGGTACGAACGTAATCAATGCTTAAGTTTGGTAGTTGTAACAGGTTTAGTTAGATAATAACTTACTCAGGATCAACATCAGGAACAGGAAGGTGGTTTCTTACAAAAAATAAATCAGTAGGAGTTATTGGGTTGCTACATATTGATGAAAGAGGAGTTTCCGCATTAAAAGGACGTTGCGAAACCACTTTCAAATCTGGATTTCTCTGAGGATCAGAACTATATATATCTTCATTGTCTTCTTCCTCGACAAAGTCCTGATAAGAAAGAATCAGGAAGATAATTACAAAAATCACAAACGAATATCTCATGATCAGTTTAAAATATCAACGCACTGGTTTTTAAGATGTATGCGAATTTAAAATGTTTCTTTTTCATAGGCTTTGAATAAAATTCGTAGATAAAAGATAATAAAATATTTTACACTATGAACTAGTAGGTAGTAAGAGGGTGTATCCTTATTTTAACCGTTTAAGCCACTCAAGCGAAAATCAACATAATTGAACGTTAGGATTTTTCAAAAACCCTTTGAACTAAATATCGTAATAAATGTGAATACATACTAGTTATCTTTATATGTAAGTTAGAAGATAATGAAAAACTGCGTAATCATAACTGACAGATACTAAAACAGCCAGAATAACATACAACTTTACGCTCAACTAGAAATAAAACATAAAAATGTATTTATGAACAAACAAATAAATTAGCATTCTTTTCAAAGAATGCTGAAAACTTTAGACTTCGTACATTTATGAGAAAAGTAGCGATTCATTATACATAAATCAGTGTTGAAGACGAAATAGAAAACATCAGTTAAAATAATTGAATAAATACGTCTGGTCACCTTCACAGTCGATGAAAAAATAGGCTACGAAAGAAAAGTAGTCATCACTTCATTATGTGAGTATCCGGAAATTTTGTTTCAGGCATGTATATTGTGTTATACAATAAATATTTAGGATAGTATGACTCACCAAGTAACAATCACTTCCTGAACAATGCCAACCCACTTGTAATAGCTATTAAGAAAATTTATATTTCAGCATCGACTCGTGTACAGAAGACAGGAAGAATTTCTCTCTTAATTGACTGAATAAAGTGATTTTCGAACTACAAACCAACGCTTTCGGAATGCTCATGCAACTTTTGAGTTTGTAAACATTGAATTAAAAGTCAACTAAAATAGCCATTAAATTATTGAAAAAGAGGTCCCGACTGTCAAAAAACATACTAAGACGTTTCAAAAGATAAATGGGTACTAAGGAAATTGTCCAAACAAACGGGTTCTGGTCATGATAAAGAACAAAACTAGATCAAACATTCCAGGTGTAAGATGGCCAAGAAATAAGCCAAACATTCAGGTATTAATTCATTGTAGGGCTAAAAACCTGCAAACCTGGTTTCTTCCAATAGCCTACGATATATATAATTATCTTTTATCCGACATCTCATCTGAAAGATTAATACAATATCAGTCTCATGAGCAGTTATTATTATTATTATTTTATTTTAACACATAGATATTGGTACAAGGAGGCACCAAATACATATGCGCTACACAAATCTCATTCTATATGTGTGAGGGCTGTGATACTGCTCGGGTGCCCGAACCGAAGTAGGTGGTTTTCTTAGTGGGCCACTCCCCGAGCCTTCGACCTAAAGGTCTGATCCACAAGGCAGTGGAGCATCGTAAGGAGATGCAGTCCCATGGAAGCCGGTGACCAACAATTGGTTCATACGCCATTTGTTCCCGCAGGATACGGGAGCCCATGTGCACCATTGGTTTGGAATCCTGTTAAAGCGCCGGACATTCGCTTTTCGTCCTCTCATTTTCGTAAACAACACCCCCTCCACGAGAAGGCAGTGAGTAAGACTTCCCTGGTAGAGGCTATATACGCGTGGCCATGTGAGAGCATTTCGAGAGGGACAGCGGACTCTCCCCACTCTCGGCCGTACCAGGACATTTGGGGGCAGTTATTACTTGACATCATACTCCAGCGTTCACTTATCGACTTTATTTTTATTTTGCAGTTACTAAGTTCTTATGGAATCTGTATGGAATACTTCAACTAGCTGCGTGAATATCTCAAGGCTTTGTGGATCGACAAATGAAAAATATGTAGTGTAACTGAAACTATGGTATTAACATAAATTCAGTCCCCTAAACTCTCTAAAGTGAATACATCGCCTAACCATTAGATCCATTTTTCTAATGTTCTCTAAAACTCATCAGAATGGTTTACAGCTACTTAAGGGGGTTATAGTCTAAGTTTATGTTTGCTTTGTTATTGGTCTAGCCAAAATTCTCTTAGTTATCATTCAATTTTTAAATCACTATATAAAATTACGAAACCTAACATGAAGAGCTAGTTACTGTTGAAAATTCGATTTTGACTACGAACTCCGTGAACCATATTAACCAGTTTATCAAATCTGGCAACAGTGCCGATAGACTACACAGCATAATCTCCTTGACTGGTAGTAAAGTAATGTGGTTGAAACTAGTTTATGACAGGTTGTAAATATCAACTTAATGTGTTACTGGAATTCGAGAATGTCGCTTTGTCGCGCAAATGAATTTGCAGTTGTGTAGCTATCGGAAGTATAAACTTAAGATAAGTAACCCTATCAAAAACAAGAAATAGTCAAGCGCCAATAGTTTAACATCGCGAATTCCAACATCGAATATGGTTTTGAATTTCAGTTTAGTGACCATCTGAAAACTAATTTATACTGCTTAATTGCTGTAGACAGTTGTCGCTAAAATATGGTGGGAATAAGCGGTCAAAACGTCAATGTATAATAAAATTGCAAGCTCAATATTCAAACTTTGGTGAGTAATTTACGTAAACTAAAGGTAAACCAACCTATGATTTTCCATTTTTATTAGGTTGTCTGACCTTAAAACGACTAGCTGTGAGCTTTGACAACTGAGCTATACCCAAAAATTATGTCTGTTTAACATCTAATAATCACTAAAGCAAAGAAAACTCAAAATTTAAAGGTCAAGTAGTGGGTTCTTACCGATTTGTCAAGTTCTCCAATATAGTACTTCTCTAGTATTTTCAAAACATGACTCTGGTAGTGAAATGCATAAACGGACCAAAATGAAGAGACGTCAGACCCAGCGGCCAAAAGAATTTTGTCACCCCCAGGATGATCGTCAACAAAACTCGTAACATCGTACACTTTACCTTTAAGAGAAACCCAAACTCCACGTTCCTTACAGTTATGCTGAGCAAGTTCCTCTAGTGTAATGATACGCGGCTTCTTAGACTTTGAAATCCAAGCAATTGCAAAAATTCCACAAGAAAGTCCACCTAAAAAAACTACAAATCACTCAAAATTTTACCACATAACCACCACCTTGATATGTTACTGGACTAACGGGGATTTTCGCCAAGCTTCTCACTTTGTTGGATGTAGTATGGAACTGCACAATTTGTCACCTATAATGACAACAAACCTGATTGGGGAGTTTATGAAACGAGATAAAAATGAGGTTGATACGCGACCTAAACATAGATTACTCATCAATATCGTATAAACAGATAATACGATTGTTTCTTTGCCTAAAAATATAAAAGACATGAACTAATTTGCACAATTCCTATAAATGATGTTACTCAAATAAAAACGCTTCCCTGTAATGTGTTAACTAACTCATATGAAAGGAAAATCACGATAGATGTAAAATTAAGAGAGGGGTGCTCCGAACACCTATGAGTACGCATCCGTACTTTGACCTCTATCACTGAAAGCATACAAACATACCCAATCTCCCAGTTTCGGGGAAAACTTGACCCACTTTGGGGAAGCCGCCATAGTAAACTTTGGGGAAATGGCACGAATTCAACAATACTTCCCCAGAATCTTATTACGTTTTGTGGAAATCGGCTTACATTTATTAATAAAACCTCAAATTTTTTCACAATTTTGGGGAAATTTTGCGTTTTTCCCCAAAATTTTTTTGACTTTGGGGTTTTTCACCAAAATTTCTCCAAAGTTGGGAGCTTGAGATATTTAATTGAATTAGCTTAAGGTAAACTAAGCTAACTTTCAGCATGACATCAGTCAGGATTACTTTATCCATGAACTTACAAAGAGCACCGAATCGCAGGCTGAAATTTTATTGTTATATTGAACAGGTTGGGAACTAAAAACTCCGTAAACAATAAATCATGAACAGCACAGAAGTGACACCAAGGTAACCTTGAAGTAACGCTTCAGTGGTATCATCCACTGATAAAGGTTATTGAGCACTTGAAGGTCACACTGTTGTGAAATGATTGGTGCTTCACCTCGAGATTCATAAGGTTTCGCAAAAGCGGTCAAATCAAGACAACCCTTAGATTTTATTTAACTCAAGCCATATTATGTCCGATAACATTAGTTTCAGTTTGGAAAGGACAAGAGGATCGATGGCCTGTGTTAGTCCTGGCAATGGTGGTCTCTCAGTTGATCCAACTTTCTTTTGAAAGAGTAGACGGATGAAACCTCAACCACGTGCTGAGTTCATGAATTCCACTCGTCGATGATTCAATGAGAAAGTCGTTAGTCAGCTGACAAGTAATTTGTTATGTGCTTCTGGACTTTTTTGGAGTGTCCTCATAAATTCTTTGTTTTGGAAGACAAAAAAATGAGGGCATATCAAGTGAAAATTTATCACTAAGCTATTTGAAAACTGTAATCAAGTTGCCTCTAGTTCTGCGATATGACAACGTGAATAGATTTAGCTTGACCAGTCGAGCATCATACAGAAGCTTCGCTATTCCGTGAGTCGGTTTAGTTGCTGTACTCTGAGCTTTTTCCAAAAGCTCACAGTCTTTCTTTAAGCAAGGGCTAGCCGCTTGTATGCAGTATGCAGTGGACTTGCCTATGTTAAGCTTATTTAGCAGACCAGAGACATCGAGCTCTTTAATGGTCACGCTGTCCAGTGTTTGGGTGGGGGTATTTGTATAGACTGACTGGAAGGGTGCTTCTATGGTATATACATTGCTAAAGTAGTTTGAGAATACTTGGGATTCACCAAAGTCGACCTCCACTGATGATGAGGCAGTACTGTCTCCATATAGTGCAGTAATATTTCCTCTTCTTTTCGTCCTTCGGTTTATATAAAAATACAAGCGTTTAGGACATTCTATGGATTCCTCAACAATTTTTTCTTCGTACAACTTTCTAGACATACGAAGGGTCGAGGAACAGGTATACCGAGCTTTTCGATACTTAGATTTTGTCTTGTCTGTCCCCAGTAACCCAAATCTATTCCACATTTTTCTTCTCCTACGGAGGAGGATGTAAGCCTCCCTACTGAATCACAGTAAAGAGCTTCTCGGCTCCCTTGGTGTAATCCAAGCCAAGTCGGGTAAAGTAGTTCTTAAGTATAAATTTTGAAATGCGTCCCAAGCCGTTTCAATTGATGAATCTTGCTCTATTGTCTACTGACAACGCTGAGTGTATGATATCTTGTGTATTTGCTTTCCAGACGTTAGGTCTTGATTGAGCTGACAATTATATGCAAGTCAAAGTTTAGAATTACATGATCACTTTTACCCAAGGGTAAATATAATCGAGGTTCGTAACGTCATCCTTATAATGAGTCAATATGATATCTAGTAAGGACGACCCAGAGTCCGGGTCGTACATAGTCACTTCTTTCACATGTTACACTAGGGCACATGTGATAATCGCATCAACTAGTTCCTGCTCGAAGGAATTATCTGACAATCCTGGCCCATCATCAGATTCATATGAGTGATTGAGCCACTCTCACAAAATAAATGATAACCCAGTTAGGACTCTTGTGACTTTTGCAAATGTGGTTTTGGAGAAAGCCTAGTTACACTAATCATATAACTACTTTACAATTTCCGTGACTTTAATGTAGGCAAATTTTTAGATGGGTGAGTTCTCACGTGACTGCGTCGTAGACGATTGACATCAAATCGTATTCACACTAGAAGAGGTGTCACGTCTCTGAAGTGGTATTAAATCGATTATTTCTTCGCTTGTTTTTCACTTAAAATGACTTATTTCCAAATTCTTCATATGTTAGCTCTTTAACTTACTTCCTTACGCCTGTTACTCCCAATGGAGCATAGGCCGCCGACCAGCATTCTCCAACTCACTCTGTCCTGGGCCTTCTTTTATAATTCCATCCAATTTTTGTTCATTTTCCTCATGTCTATCTCCATTTCCCGGTGTAATGTGTTCTTTGGTCTTACTCTTTTCCTTCGGCCTTCAGGATTCCATGTGAGGGCTTGTCTCGTGACGCAGTTGGGTGCTTTCCTCAATGTGTGTCCTATCCACTTCCAGCGCTCCTTCCTGATTTCTTCTTCCGTTGGCATCTGGTTTGTTCTCTCCCACAGTTGGTTGTTGCTAATAGTGTTATTATTATTATTAGAAGCTTTATTCAACATTATATTTTTGGTACAACATAGAATTCTCAGCATAAAGTATTTCAACAAATTTCCTTTTCTTATATCTTGATCGGTTGTGACGATAAATTTTGAATGATGACCAGTTTGATGCTAGGAATTCGAAATCATTTCGAGTTATCTATCGCATACCTCCATCAGTTCCCGACGGAGTCCGTTCCCGTCTCCTATATATAGCTGAAGCCATTGGAATTCGTACATATAACCCCAATCTATGTGTACAGAAGAAATACGTGACTCCCCTATCCCTTCCATGACCAGTTATAACTTAACTAAAAATTTTTAATTAATTTTTTTTAAATTTTATTATTTTCATTATTTATTTTATTCTATCCGTGTTATCGTCAACCTTATTTCCACATCTATTATTTGTTTGTAATTTTCCGCCTCTTTGTATTCTTCACTATCTAATTATTTACACACATCTTATTACGTAATGATTTTAATGTTTTGTGATTACTATTCCTAGTCTATTTACCCATGTTTATTTGACCTTCTAGTTCCAACGATTAACTATTGATAAGAGTTTTGTTATTGTATTTTATTATTCTCACTATTACCAGCTCACCTATCTTCCTACTACTATCAACTTGTACTTTTACCTATTATGTGTAGTGACTTATTCTATTTCATAGTGATTATTGACCCATATTGCCTTGATTTGTTTAAAATTTTCGAATAAATATTCATGTATATTAGAATAAAGCTTGATGACGATCTAATTGAAAACAATTGTTCGCTTATATGTGTTAGGAATTCGGTAATCCACATTTGATTAATGTTCATTCGTTTCATTGCATATTGCCAGCCACCATGATGTCGCTGATTGTACCTTTCTGTATCCCGTATAGCGAAAAGTTTTAAACTTTTCATAAACGCGCCCGAATAGATTGTGAGCACAATAGACATATTGATGTGCTAAAACAAACAACAAAACAGATAACTTGAAGAAATATCTAGATCGGAGGAACAGGTAGCCCAGATATTCAAGCAGGCCGCCTGCCAACGGATCTGAAGTATTTTGCATAGACAACTGTTAATAAACACCTTTATCTTCTGGATGATGGCTTTCGTAGTTCTCTAAGGTTCCTCCCCATACAGTAGAACTGTCTTGACATTTGTATTGAAAATCCTGACCTTGATGTTGGTTGACAGTTGTTTTGAGTTCCAGATGTTCTTTAGTTGTAAATATCCTGCTCTTGCTTTTCCGATCCGCGCCTTCACATCTGCACCAGATCCAACCTGTTCATCGATGATGTTGCCCAAATATGTAGAGGTTTTTACGACTTCCAAACCTTCTCCGTCAATTGTGGTTGGATTGGTGCATGCTGTGTTGTATCGGAGAATCTTGCTTTTCCCTTTGTGTATATTGAGACCTACTGCTGCTACACTGGCCGTCTTCTCCTGGATTTGTTGTTGCGTGTGCGATAGAAGAACCAAAACATCTGCAAAGTCTAGATCGTCTAGCTGCATCCTAGATGTCCACTGTATTCCGTGCTTCCCCTCAGATGTTGACGTCTTCATGATCCAGTCGATCACCAGGAGAAAGAGAAAGGGTGAGAGTAAGCAACCTTGCCTGACACCGATCTTTACCTCGAACGAGTCTGTCAGCTGTCCTCCATGCACAATTTTGCAGTTTAATCCATCATAGGAATTCCGTATGATATTGACTATCTTCTGACGCACGCCGTAGTGTCAAAGAAGCTTCCATAGTGTTGTTCTGTCCACGCTATCAAATGCTTTCTCGTAGTCAATGAAGTTGATGTAGAGTGATGAATTCCATTCAATTGATTGTTCCACAATGATCCGTAGAGTTGCGATTTGGTCTGTACACGATCTATACTTACGGAATCCTGCCTGTTGGTCTTGAAGTTGGGCATCTACGCAGTCCTTCATCCTCCTGAACAATACCCTGTTGAAGACTCTCCCTGGTATTGAGAGAAGAGTGGTGTCCCTGTAGTTATCACAGTTGCTGATATCGCCTTTCTTTGGTATTTTGACCAGAAGTCTTTCTTTCCAGTCTTTTGATACTTTTTCCTCATCCCAAATCTTATTGAAGACAATATGGAGTATCTTTGCAGTTACT